AAATCAAAACCACATTGAGATACCATTTCACGCCAGTTAGAATGGCAATCATTAAAAAATCAGGAGACAACAGATGCTGGAGAGGATGTGGAGACATAGGAATGCTTTTATACTGTTGGTGGGACTGTAAATTAGTTCAACCATTGTGGAAGACAGTGTGGCAATTCCTTAAGGATCTAGAAACAGAAATACCATTTGACCCACCAATCTCATTACTGGGTATATACCCAAAGGATTATAAATCATTCTATTATAAAGACACATACACACATATGTTTATTGTGGCACTGTTCACAATAGCAAAGATTTGGAACCAACCCAAATGATCAATAGACTGGATAAAGAAAATATGGCACATACCATGGACTACTATGGAATACTATGCAGCCATAAAAAGTATGAGTTCATGTCCTTTGTATCATGTCCTTCGGACATGGATAAAGCTGGAAACCATCATTCTCAGCAAACTGACACAAGAACGGAAAACCAAACCCACTTATGTTCTCACTCATAAGTGGGTGTTGAACAATGAGAACACAAGGACACAGAGAGAAGAACATCACACACTGGGGCTTGTTGGGGAGTTGGGGGCTAGGGGAGGGATAGGTAGGGGTGAGGGGATTTGGGAGGGATAGTGTTAGGAGAAATACCTAATGTAGATGATAGAGTGATGGATTCAGCAAACCACCATGGCATGCGTATGCCTATGTAACAAACCTGCACATTCTGCACATGTACCCCAGAACTTAAAGTGTAATAAATAAAAACAGTAATTTTTGTCAAAGTCACATGTGAACACATATTGAAAAATAAAATAGCTTCTCCATAGGCCGGGCGCAGTGGCTCACGCCTGTAATCCCAGCACTTTGGGAGGCCGAGGCGGGTGGATCACGAGGTCAAGAGATCGAGACCTTCCTGGTCAACTTGGTAAAACCATGTCTCTACTAAAAATACAAAAAATAAGCTGGGCATGGTGGCACATGCCTGTAATCCTAGCTACTCAGGAGGCTGAGGCAGGAGAATTGCCTGAACCCAGGAGGCGGAGGTTGTGGTGAGCCGAGATCGCGCCATTGCACTCCAGCCTGGGTAACAAGAGCGAAACTCCATCTCAAAAAAAAAAAAAAGAAAAGAAAACAATAATAAAAGCTAATTTATATTGGAAACCAACAATCTATTGCCACTCTTTTTCCCCATTCTAAGTCCTACTTCTGGAGAGAACCACTTTATCTGTTTCTCCTTTAATTTTTTTCCTGATGCTTACTTACATGTGCCTAAATAATATGCCTAGATTGCTCACTTTTTTTTTTTTTTTTAATTTTTTATTGGATTATAGGTTTTGGGGTACATGAGCAGAGCATGCAAGACAGTTGCGTAGGTACACACATGGCAGTGTGCTTTGCTTTTCTTCTCCCCTTCACCCACATTTGGCATTTCTCCCCAGGCTATCCCTCCCCACCTCCCCCTCCCACTGGCCCTCCCCTTTTCCCCCCAATAGACCCCAGTGTTTAGTACTCCCCTTTCTGTGTAAAGGAGATTGCTCACTTTTATGTCCTCTTTTATTCATTCTAGAAACAAGTGCTTATTGTATACCAGAACTTATCCAGGAACATGAATTAAGGCTGGGTGCAGAGGCTCACACCTGTAATCTCAGTACATTGGGAGGCCAAGGCGGCTGGATCACAAGGTCAGGAGTTTGAGACCAGCCTGGCCAACATGGTGAAACCCTGTTTCTACTAAAAATAGAAAAAAATAGCCAGGTGTGGTGGCCTACACCTGTAATCCAAGCTACTCAAAGGGCTGAGACAGGAGAATCACTTGAACCTAGGAGTCAGAGATTGCAGTAAGCCAAGATTGCACCATTGCACTCCAGCCTGGGCAACAGAGAAAGACTCTGTCTTGGAGGAAAAAAAAGTATCTATTTGACCAATTATTACAATTGTGTTATCATTTCTTATCTACTGATGAACATATTCTCTTTGTTACTACAGATTACAGATTTATATCCTTTTTGGTTCAGTATATACGTATATGTGTGTGTGTGTGTGTGTGTGTGTATGTGTATATATATATATGTGTGTGTGTGTATATATATATGTACCTATATATTGGTCTCCCTTTCCTCGGAGACAATATATAGGTACATATATATATACATACACATATACATACATATATATATATATATGTGTACAATTTTATAGAACTCTAAGGAAAGAGAGGCAATAAGCCTTGTGTCTAGTCCACCAACATCTCCAACAAAAACATTCTGTTCTCTTTATGGAAACTCTCTGAATGTGGATGGACCTGGTAAGAGTTGAGCTTCCATTCACACACAAGAACCAGAGTCAAGTTGCCTCTGTGACATTAGAGGAAACATAGGTGGTAGAAAAGCATGGGGCTGGGATTTGGGAACTTAGTCATGTCCATAATCAGGTCAATAACCACAGTGTTCACAGTGCCTGGCAAATTAGAGTGAGCTAATGTCATTATTTATTATTACATTTAATAGAGTTAACCATTATTTAGTTCATTCTGCTTACCAAACACTATGGATGCTGTTAACTTTCTCATTTAAAAAGTAATAACTAATATTATCCCACTTTTCATGTGAAAAAACTAAGGTCTAAACAAGTGATATAATTTTTCCAAGGTTTTATGACAAAACAGGGATTTAAACCAAAGCCTATTTCCTGAGCCCAAGGTTATCTCATAATCTCATTTTAGTTAAGTCATTCTATAAACATTTGTTGAAGTTGTACTGCATGCCAGTGTCAGACACCTACGGGAATTCTGTTTACACCCTGTTTGGCTCACCTCTGATTCCAACCACGTCTGGATAGACAGTTCCAGGTGGGCTTTGATTCCTGATTCCTGATGTGCTAACAACTTCTCCTTTTAAGCATGTGCCATGCCTTCTCTGCTACTGGATACCACCAGGAGCTGTTCTTGCTCTTGTGAAGCTGGGAAGACTTCAGGAGGAGGTAATACCTGAAGCTGGGATGTGTCTGAGAGTTACCATCCAGGACCACCCTCAGGAGCTGGTGGATAAATAGCAGACAATTCTGCAAAACATTCTGTAGGTTTCTCAGGTCTCAGGTCTTAGGTATCCATTGTCCATAGTAGCAACCTCTCAATCACAGTTTTATATTGACTTTTCCTCCATCTCTACCCTCATTCTTCAGTCTTCACTATTGTCAGCCCCTAATCTCTGCTCCCTGGGATCACCAACCAAACAAGTCACCTGCATCCATGCTCTTGTCTCAAGACTGCTTCCAAAGAAGCCTGAGTCAAGATGTATGGTAAGGGGTAACCCAAGGTATTTTGCCAAGTGCTAATACAGAGAGTGATGTGGAAACCCAGAATGAGGGGCATTTAGACAAATGATAATAGAGAATTGTGGAGAATGCGACACCTAAAGAAAAAATGTTGTTCCATATTTATCCTTTAAGTAGAACACAGTGAGCAAAACAGAACAAATGGACGTTCAATCATCCACTTATTCTTTCAGTAATTAGTTACTGGATGACATGCTTGCTTAAGGATTAAAGCATCAAAACAAAACAAAACAAAAAACCTGCTTTCTTGGGGCTCCTGGAAAAGACAAACAAAAGTGGACAAGTGCTATTAAAAAATGAAATCAGAGTAAAGGACAGAGAAGGATGAAGATGCTATTTTAGAGAGGCCAGTCTAAGAAAGCATTGCAAAAAAAAAAGGTATACTTGATCTAAAAACTGGGCTTAGTGGGTTCCCTAGCAAGTATCTGGTATAAGAGCATTATAGGCACACATGCACAGGGGAGGTGAGGTTAGCAAACAGACAGGAGGCAGGGAATTAGAAGCAGAGCAGGTGAAAGGATAGTAGGAGGAGAGTGGGCCAGGACTCCGTTGGGTCTTGTCTTGCAGGCAGATGAAGACCATGGCCACACTGAGGGCTTGAACCTTACATATATCACTTTTTCTGGGATTCAGTTCCCTCATAAAACAAGGAAGGTTTCATAAAAAAAGGAAGATTCTATAAATTCAAGGTTCTTTATAATCCTAGCATCCTATATGTTCTACTTTTAAACCCTTTAGCAACTTTTATATCTTTCTTTGGGAGCTTGGGGAGGAAGGCTTGCAGTCAAGCAAGGTAAGAACACACTGTTTTCCTTCCAACTTGAATACCCTATTTCCTAAGTACAAGTAAAGCTAACGTGTCACTTACTCTGGCATGGTTTTAAGTCTAGGAGAAACTCTGGGCAGGAACCTCAATGCATGGTGCTTCATAGCAGTTTGTCCACTGCGGCTGTAAGTGGAGGCTTGAACCTCTCTCTCCTTCTTTCATGTATCTAATCACAAGCTGAGTGAGGGCAGTGAGAGCAGTTTCTCAACTCACCCCAAGCCCTGAGTTTGAAGAAACAAGTTCCCCCTACTGCACAGAGCCCAGAACCCACCTCTGACATTTGGCATCCATGAGGAGTGGGAGCGAGGCTACAGGAACACCAGCAGCCAGCTCCTGCGAGTAAGCTGATCTCCACCTGTGTTCTGTGGCAGAACCTCTCTGGAAAGATTCTGATTGGTGTTATAATACTCTCTTCATTACATAATAAAAGCAAAATTAGGGATACACTTTTTTTCAAGGCAGGAAAGGGAAATTGAATGAAGGTCAGTTTGGCAAAAAAGAAATAAGCTAAACTTTTAATAAGATCTGGGCTTGACTCCTGTTCTCACACTTTCTAGCTATACCTTAGAGGTATTACAACCTCTTCTTTCATCATTTTTTATGCTTTACCTAATATTTACCCGATATGACTATTGCTAGTATCCAAATAAATGCATATTAAAAGTCTTGTTCTAAACAAATAGTAGATTCTGCTATTATTATCATCAATAATGGAAATTATTAGTCTCTCATTGATAAAGAAGAAATTTCAGATCCTTAGAAAAAAATCTCATTGAGCTCTGCCTGCCTATAGTGACATCATAGATGAGATTCTAGGGTCTCTACCATGGATGAATATTCTTTTTCCTTTGGCTTGAAGTTTTAAGCTGCTTACAACATGTGGAATTCAAAGCTGCAGGCACACAACTGCCAGAACTGTCAGGAAGATTAACAACAGGTATTTGAAAAGAAAACAGTAGGCAGTTAAGGAGCTGTTCTTGGAGTATGATTTATGAAGGTTTCCATGACAAGACCATGGTTTTGATGAGAAAACAGTACACATTTCATGAAACTCAACTACATGGGTGTTTTAATAAACAAGTTGTTTTGACCAATAGTTGCTATTCATAGACTAAAGCATCCTTGAGAATAAACAGCCAAAGAGAAATACTAGAGTGATAGAGAGGCAGCCTCAAGGTACACTGTGACAAAATAAGCTTTTTGTGTTTCCCATTTTATATGTCACCTAAACCACAGGTAACTCCTTCATTTATATATACAGAGGTATCAATTTATCAGCCTCAAGCCATGCCTTCCAGAAAGTACCCAGTTATTTTATTAAGTATAGCTATTAAATATTTGATATATTAAAAATTAAAAAGTCTTATAACACTGTATTTAGAATATTAAGGCACAAGAAAAGAAATGGTTTAGAGTTACAGTTTACCACTATGGTCTAAGAATTATCCAATCATTAAAAGGAGTAGGTCCACAGAACTGTTGCTAAAATATATTTGATATGACAATGACCTAGTGCCACTTAGGAGGTAATATACATATAAATATGTAATTTGCACAGTACTTGTTTCTTGTGATAATTTTTTTAAGAAAGGAGAGAAGGAAAGAAAGAAGAAAGGAGTGAAGGAAAGGAAGAAAGGAAGAAAAAGAGGGAGAGAGAACGGGAATGTTGCTTTATTCTAAAAATGGGTATTGAAAACTTCTTTTATGCCAATAATTGTGCTTAATCTGGTGATAATTTTTTACAATTACTTCACTCTTCTATTTTCTACTCTATTTGATTTGAGCTCTGTTTTCCTTTCCTGAGAGCCTTTCAGATAATCAGCCACTTTGAACCAGCAATCTTTGCATAGGATGTTGTGGTAAAGAATTTATCTCCTACTCTTATCAACCATAAGGTACAAAATACTCATCGGGAACTACCTAGCCTTGGCTTCAACTGTCCTCTGCTTTCACCATATTATTCATCTGCTGTCTTCCACTCCAATGAGGCAGTTACAGCCTAAACCAGGTGCACCTGCCAGAATAACTTGATTGGGAAGATTATATCTAAACAAGAATCAGCTATTAAGTTTCATCAAGCCATATTTTTGCTCTATTTCATAGAAACAGCAGGTGAGTTAGACTGGTTGCTTGCTAAAGAAAAACACATGTAGAAGGCTTAAACCTCAAGCAAGCATAGATATAGAAGTGTCGGTGGTGATAGAAATCTAACCCGTAGGACATTTCTGCAGCTATAATCTAAATGATTGAAATGAACATTACTATTTTAGGTTTAACACAGAGGATTTTGTGCCTGCAGGGGTACTTTTGAATCCCCATGACAGTACCCAGCACCACTGAAAAATGTCTCTACACATTACGTAGCTACATGGAATCAGATGAAAATATTTAGAACATATGTCTTCAGCAATGGCTTCTCAGCTGCTGCAAATATATCAAAATGACTATGCTTGGACAAAATGGGAGAAAGGAAGGGAAGTGACAGTTTTAAGAAGATTAAAAAACCAACCAACTTTTAGGAAGATTAAAAAAGAGAGAGCCAGGAGGATCATTTATAAAAAGAAGGATGTAAATTCTTTACAACCTGATTGGTTTTCCCCGGAATTTAGTTGCTTTAACGAAACTGTTATTTCTGAAGGACTGAAAGCCTTTTTTTTTTTTTTTTTAAGGTGAATACAGCAGTGCTGAGGGTTGACATATTGTGAGTCTCTGAACTCAGGAGACTATCTCTGAAGACCTAATTAGGTTACAAACATGTGAAAATGAGTTTAGTATCCGTTATGCAGAGGTTCTAAAGGGGATGTCAGGATGCTGAATAGTCAATACTTCCCCAACTGTTCCCTTTGCAAACTCTACGTATCACGAGGTTTTTGCCTTTCTACAACTAAGTTATCCTCAAAGAGTCATTTTAACTGGGTGACCTTTTCCACTGAAAACATTAGAAATGTCTTGGAGTTTTTATCAGCTTTTTTATGATAGAGTTAGTGACAAAATTTGCATATTTTCTTTTTTTTTTTCAAAATACTTTTCTGCCAAATAAAGTAACAAGTCTTTATTTCTAAAACAATCAATCAATCCAAGGAATTAAAGAGTAAATGTAACCTCAAAATGGGCTTTAAGCTTTATGAACCGAGCTTTGCTTGCTAGCAGCCTCTAATAATGACCTGATGATAATCCATTATTACCACAAGGCAGAGATAACACATGAGACTGAAAAGAGAATGGATTTCGGAGTCAGGAGAATAAGCCACTACTTCGAGTTTTCTGAACATTTTCTTAAGTATGCAGTGAAAATAATAGTATGTACCTTATACCTGAGTTCCTGTAATTAGATAACATAAGAGAAAGCATGTCATCCAACAGAAGTTACTGCACATGTAAAAGTTATTTTTGTTTAGAACCATAGTTTTCCCTGTGGTCAGTACAAGTATTACCAGCAACTAAAAACATAATTTCAGTATTGGCTAATGAGATCAAGATTTTATTATTATTTGATCAATCATAGTCAGAAAGAGAGCACTTAATAATAATGGCCAACCAGATTAAAATGCACACCATTACCCACCTAAATGTATGTCGTTACCTACCAGGAAATGTGAGTAGTAGCCACTAATGGAAATTCCTCTACTAAAGGGTGATCTCCTCATAATAGGTACAGCATTACAGCTCAGTTGCTCAGATGATTCAGTATTAAAAATTGCTATTGGCTGGGTGGGGTGGCTCACATCTGTAATCCTAGCACTTTGGGAGACTGAGGCAGGTGAATTGCCTGAGCTCACGAGTTTGAAACAAGCCTGAATAAAACTTTATTTGACTCTACTAAAATAAAAAAGAAACGAGCTGCGCATGGTGGCATATGCCTGTAGTCCAGCTACTTGGGAGGCTGAGGCAGGAGAATTGCTTGAACTCAGAATACGGAGGTTGCAGTGAGCCAAAATCGAGCCACTGCACTCCACCCTGGGTGACAGAAACTCTGTCTCTACCAAAAAAAAAAAAAATGCTATGACAGACCTGATGTTTGACTGTATGGACACATAAGTAAGCTAGACTGCAAATTTCACAAGGAGAGGGATCTTTGTCTATTTTGTTCACTATCTATCTCAATAGCTTGGACAATTACTTATACACAGTATGAACTAAATACGTATTCACTGATTATGAGGATAAAATAAAGAAAAATCTCTGAAATTCAGGAAATCTGTTTGACCTTAATTTTCTAGATCTTTGGAGACACTGAGGATTTCAATAAATCAGTTCAGTAACCACAGCTAGGTCGCCTACAGTGAGTTCATTCTCTCTTGGCTTGATAACACTTTAAGGAGAGAGCTCCTGTTCTGGGTGGGGTTCTAGACAGTCCCCTCATAGGTAGCTTTGTCCTATTCTGCCAGCCCCTGCTCTATTCCTTTATCGCTTAGTTAATCATGGACTCTACTTTTCCAGCTAAGCTCATTTTTGTACCAGAAAAGAACTGGCTCTAGAGGGCTGAGTAAACATTCTTTAAAAGGCAGGTGATACCTAGTGTGCACTGAGGTTTTAAATCTATTCAGTAGATTGTGTTAATAAAAAAATTAATCTTCTTGGCATGGTGGCTCATGTTTATAATCCAAACACTTTGGGAGGCCAAGGTGGGTGGATTGCTTGAGCTCAGGAGTTCAAGAGCAGGCTGGGAAATATGGTGAAACCCCATCTCTACAAAATCTAGCTAGACCTGGTGGCACTTGCCCATAGTCTCAGCTACTCAGAAGGCTGAGGCAGAGGAATCTCTTGAGGCTGGGAAACAGAGGTTGCAGTAAGCCACATCATGGCATTACATTCCAGCCCTGGAGACAGAGTAAGACCCCTGTCTTGAAGGAAAAGAAAAAGTGAAAGAAGAAGGAAGGGAAGAAGGAAGGAGGGAAGAAGGGAAGGAGGAAGGAAACAGAGGAAGGAAGGGAGGGAGGGAGGGCAGAAAAAAAGAAAGTTAATCAAAAAAATGTATAAGGTAACTATATCATGTAAACAAAATAGTTCATTGGACCTATATATGCAAATAGAAGACACAGCCTTTGCATTTGAAGAAGCTTCACAGTTTACTGCATAGATATTATCTATGCTGCTGGCATTTCCTGAACACACACACAAAAGCAATAAAGATTATTATGTTAGACTGGACTCAAAGGTAGAATGGGATTTCAGCTGTTTATGGAGAAGCTTTTTTTTTTTTTTTTTTTTTTTTTTTGAGACGGAGTTTCGCTCTTGTTACCCAGGCTGGAGTGCAATGGCGCTATCTCGGCTCACCGCAACCTCTGCCTCCTGGGTTCAGGCAGTTCTCCTGCCTCAGCCTCCTGAGTATCTGGGATTACAGGCACGTGCCACCGTGCCCAGCTAATTTTTTGTATTTTTAGTAGAGACGGGGTTTCACCATGTTGACCAGGATGGTCTCGATCTCTTGACCTCGTGATTCACCCGCCTCGGCCTCCCAAAGTGCTGGGATTACAGGCGTGAGCCACTGCGCCCGGCCTATAGAGAAGCTTTTAATATGAAAAAGGAATGAAAAGTATAGCCTAGGAAAGGATAATATAATATGCAAAGACAGAAAGTGAAAAAGTACAAGGTATATTTGATAAAATATAAGAAGAATCACTGGAATAAGGCAGTATAATAAAGTATAGCAAAAGTTAAGGCTAAAAAATGGTATCATTGAAATTAATGGCATTTTGATTTGCTGTGGTGTAGCAGAAGGCATCCAGGAGCCAGGCTGTGACACGGATCTCTGAATGGAGCAAAAATCAGAGTGTGGGAGCCTGCAAGGAACTAGAACAGGGAATTTTCAAATCAATAGTGTTGAAATCTATTTTTTAAGCACTGAATTGATCAAAAATATTAGATCTTCCTGAAAGCTACCATTTTACAACCTATAATAACAAAATAAATGAAAATGAGCACAGTTTGAAATAA